CAGAATAAGGTAGCTAAGTTTCGATTCCTTGTATTCTCTTATGAAACAAAGGGGAAAAGTACACTTAATTGGATTGAACATATTTTTAATCTTGTTTTGGTTTCTATCTCCAGATTTATGTATTTCTAGATTGGATATGGACCTGACAATGTATGCCCCTAGCACTTAGTTATTGCAGGCAGGAGTACAATCAATGGATCACATTTAGGTCCAGCCCATAAGTTCTAGAGGCCCTGTTCTAAAATAAAATATGGCTCCAAAATTTTAATTAAATTTAATAAATAAACAATTAACAGAACTATAAAAATAATATATAATGAAGAAGGATGAATTATTTGACGAATCAAACCCTAGCAGTCCATTCCATAGCCCAGCAAAATACACAAGTCCAAGACTAGTTAAAGGAATATTAGGCCCATTAATGCTTTAGTTCAATCAAAGTTATTTTTATTTCATCTATTAACACATTTGTTTTGGCCCCAAAAAGTTGAGAAGCCCATGAAAATAAAGACTATTATGGTTATAGGTTTAAACTTGAGGCCCATTTTTTCTGAGGCCCCGTGCTTTAGTTCAATCACGATAATTATATTGATGCTTAGAATTGATCTAGGTGAACTAGAATGGCATGATTAGGGGTGTATGAACTTTTGTGCTATATGTTGAACCCTGGATTGCTGTATGATATTGTTGACTTGCCCTAATCAATATGAACCTTGTTTATGCTGATGATTGTGTATATGTTGCAAATTGTGGGCTGGACTGTTAATATGCTTTACGATGGTTCGAGAAGGTGATTAGGTATGACTTTTCATGATTGTTGTATTTGGATGCACAAGTGGGAAAATATATATCCCCTGGTGATATTATGATGTTTAACGAGGATGACTTGCACGAGGGTTTATCCCGAGGAAGTGCAATTATACGACTCCTGATTTACCTATGTTGAGCCAATTATGGCCAAGTCAAGTACATGTGCAAGTAATGAATGATGATTAAGCAAGATGATATATAAATCATGTATAAGGATACCAAATATGAGTGTTGTGGTCTCACGGTCAACTACATAGTAATTAGGGCTCCCTATGCTATTACTCTATTATGATATGTCTGATAGTCACACCTCTCATGTGGTGGTGACTGAAGAATTTTTACGAGATATGACCACACCCAGAGCGGTGTCGGGGAATGACTACACCCATAGTGGTGTGGGGTATGTATGACCACATCCGACGGGATGTTGGGGTATGTATGACTACATCCAACGGGATGTGGGGTATGTTTCCCGGGAGAGTTATTAGCATGGGAGTAGCCAGGCGCCTATGATTAAAACATGATAAGATGCATATGCATAAGGCAAGGTGGTTGAGTCTTTTGCCTATTGGGATGTCGGAGGGCTGAGATCTGATCCCAGTGGTTTGGCTTGTTTGTTAGATGTATGGTAGGGGTATGCTCTGTTATGAACTCACGATGCTATGATTATCTCACTCAGCTATGAGCTGACCCTCTTTATCCTTTTTCTCTGCTTATGCCATGTGTAAGCAGATCATCAGTAGTAGCAGTAGCAAGTACATAGGTTTGAGCATAACGAGGAGTTTAAGGCAGAATGAGGTATTGTCTTCAACTATTCTGTGCTTGGACTACTACTCGGGATTTTGGCCAGTGATCCACACCTTTTTGTAAAAAGTGTTTTGAGAATGTTTTTCATGTGCATACTAGCTTCTGAAGTAGAGTGAGATATCCACAGGTGTGGAAAGTTGATGATATGTGTATATTTGTGTAATTGTGTAAGTTTTGATGATTATGGCATGTATAAGTATGGTATGCAGTTGTGGAGTATGAAAACTGTGATTATGGCTATGAAAGCCAATGAATATGGATGTGAGTATATATGTTTGTGATGAATTATTTTGCAGGATAAGTTGCAAGAACTATTAGCCCATTACGCGAGTAATTCATGTCGAAATTATATTTGATTTTTGATAATTAATGTAACACCCGAGATTATTTCCGCTGCAATTGTATGAACAATATGATTTGGTAATACGTATAGGGTAGGGTGTTACAGTTTGGTATCAGAGCTGGTTTGTTTTCTGCAATATGGGTATGTTACTTTCACTCTTGAGGACTGATCACCCTCGAAAGGGGAGGGAGTACTCCATACATGTATTTTTACTAAACTCTCCAGGATTGGGACCAAAGGTGATGATGTGTTGCATAGTCAGTTGCATATGGTCAAACATGATTTTGAGTATTTGAAGGAATCTTGAAAATTTTATGGTTTAAGAGATTTTTTAAAATATGTGGAGTTTTTATCTTGTTGTCCAAGTATTGATTTTGAAATAAGTTTTGTTTTAACCAAGTGAGTAACTTGGTTAGACACAAATGGTGTGTGGATCAAACTAAGGCCAATGTTTCCTTGTAGTTTGCACAGAAGTACTTTTAGTGTTACTACTAACTGATCGAGAAGCATGGTGCCTAGCTATGCTATGCAATTGATCTTCGACTATGCTAATATGACGAGTTGTTGTGGTAGAATTTTAATATGGATATGATTCTAGATGTTGTGGTGGCTATGTTAACAATCTTGCTTAGTAAGTTATGTTTTGCAATTGTTGATGTGCTTATGATGTGATAACCCGATATAGGTTTTTGAAACCTTATATTGGGAACTTGAGGTGATATGTGTTTAGTTATGTACTTCAGATCTCCTACCCTAAGAGTTAGGTAGTAATAAGATATGTGTAGTATATTATGGGGGCAAACCTAGCGGATATGTACTATTAACTCAAGGTTAGATTTCGGGGACGAAATCTTTTTAAGGAGGGGAGAATTGTAACATCCCATTCCGGCAAAACCCATATTTCGATTGCTAGAAAGTTTGCGATTTAAAATCAAGCGTTTTGATAGTATTTCGACAAAAATCGAATTATCGATCGATCGGATAAGTATACGTATTAATTATATATAAATAAATAAATAAATATATATAAACGTGTCCATTTAATTCCATTTTCCCATCTTCATCTTCTTTTCACTTTCCACCGAGAGGAAACGAGACAGAGCCGAGCAGAGCGAACAGGGGAGCTCGGGGAGAAATTCCAAAGCTCAAAATCTTGAGCTACAGTGATCCAAAAATCCCGAATTTCTTGAATTCCCGATAAGCCAAATTAGGGTTTCGGAGTATCCGGAAGCCGAATTGAGCCCAAATTTCATATACGAGCTTCCTGCAGCGAGGGGATATTAGGACGGTCTCGGATTTTAATTCGGGGTTCGTTCGTGAAATTGACGTTTTAGTACGGGCAGCTTAAACTGGTGTTTGAACGACCAGAACTGGAGATATTAGGACGGTCTCGGATTTTAATTCGGGGTTCGTTCGTGAAATTGACGTTTTAGTAAGGGAAGTTTAAACCGGTGTTTGAACGACCAGAACTGGTGAGGGATTAGCACGGCATACCGTGTTTGTCGTATCACAATAATTATATTGATGCTTAGAATTGATCTAGGTGAACTAGAATGGCATGATTAGGGGTGTATGAACTTTTGTGCTATATGTTGAACCCTGGATTGCTGTATGATATTGTTGACTTGCCCTAATCAATATGAACCTTGTTTATGCTGATGATTGTGTATATGTTGCAAATTGTGGGCTGGACTGTTAATATGCTTTACGATGGTTCGAGAAGGTAATTAGGTATGACTTTTTATGATTGTTGTATTTGGATGCACAAGTGGGAAAATATATATCCTCTGGTGATATTATGATGTTTAACGAGGATGACTTGCACGAGGGTTTATCCCGAGGAAGTGCAATTATACGACTCCTGATTTACCTATGTTGAGCCAATTATGGCCTGGTCAAGTACATGTGCAAGTAATGAATGATGATTAAGCAAGATGATATATAAATCATGTATAAGGATACCAAATATGAGTGTTGTGGTCTCACGGTCAACTACATAGTAATTAGGGCTCCCTATGCTATTACTCTATTATGATATGTATGATAGTCACACCTCTCATGTGGTGGTGACTGAAGAATTCTTACGAGATATGACCACACCCAGAGCGGTGTCGGGGAATGACTACACTCATAGTGGTGTGGGGTATGTATGACCACATCCGACGGGACGTTGGGGTATGTATGACTACATCCAACGGGATGTGGGGTATGTTTCCCGGGAGAGTTATTAGCATGGGAGTAGCCAGGCGCCTATGATTAAAACATGATAAGATGCATATGCATAAGGCAAGGTGGTTGAGTCTTTTGCCTATTGGGATGTCGGAGGGCTGAGATCTGATCCCAGTGGTTTGGCTTGTTTGTTAGATGTATGGTAGGGGTATGCTCTGTTATGAACTCACGATGCTATGATTATCTCACTCAGCTATGAGCTAACCCTCTTTATCCTTTTTCTCTGCTTATGCCATGTGTAAGCAGATCATCAGTAGTAACAGTAGCAAGTACATAGGTGTGAGCATAACGAGGAGTTTAAGGCAGAATGAGGTATTGTCTTCAACTAGTCTGTGCTTGGACTACTACTCGGGATTTTGGCCAGTGATCCATACCTTTTTGTAAAAAGTGTTTTGAGAATGTTTTTCATGTGCATACTAGCTTCTGAAGTAGAGTGAGATATCCACAGGTGTGGAAAGTTGATGATATGTGTATATTTGTTAAATTGTGTAAGTTTTGATGATTATGGCATGTATAAGTATGGTATGAAGGTGTGTAGTATGAAAACTGTGATTATGGCTATGAAAGCCAATGTATATGGTTGTGAGTATATATGGTTGTGATGAATTATTTTGCAGGATAAGTTGCAAGAACTATTAGCCCATTACGCGAGTAATTCATGTCGAAATTATATTTGTTTTTTGATAATTAATGTAACACCCGAGATTATTTCCGCTGCAATTGTATGAACAATATGATTAGGTAATACGTATAGGGTAGGGTGTTACAGGTACTCCTCAGATCCGCATCTCTCCCATCGCCGGCGCCATCGCAAGAGATGGGAAATTTTTTGTCTTCAATCACCATGAACCGCCTGGAGCCAGTATCAGAAGAGCCCATAACCAGAGACGAACAAATCAACAGAGGCGGGAGGAGAAGCCACCATTATCACACTCCTTTGACCAAACCTCCCGGCGTCGTTCCGCCTCCGTTCCACTGCCAAACGTGCACCATCTCGTGGTAGATCACGCCGACGAATTCCCTCCTCGCTTCGTCATCGTCGCTGTAGTACCTCTCCAAATAGCCCGCGTTGAAGTGGATTTCGTCGTTGTCGGCGAATGGCACGCCGTCTGAGTTTTCTATGAACAAGCTAATTGTTGGTATGGTTTTTCTTTCTGCAGGGGTGTTCAGCTGCAGTGCCTTCCAGGTGAAGTCAGTTGCGTCTGCTAGCGTTTTCTTGATGAGATCCATCCCGATTTGGTTGGAGAAGCTATTGTTGCCCGTGGAATCGGAGACCCTGTATAATTCAATGGATCCATAAATGGCTGCCATTTCCGATTTCGCTTCATTTCCATCCAATTCCGAAATAAGAAAATCATACTTCGTTTGTCCTATCATAATGGGAATTTGATACTATGACGATGATAAAGCTTTAGGCGATGATGATGATGATGAGAATTTCATATTTGTATACAGTGGTAAAGTGAGGTCAATCTCATGGTTTAAACTACATTGCTGTTACTATTGGAGTGGAGTTGAGGTTATCATCAAACACTTTCTGGTTGTACTCAATTGGAGCTGCTAGTTTCAGATATGGTTTTCTTTTTGCCAATTTATATATATGCATTATTAGTAATACTAATGCAGATCCAATTGTAATACTTATTATATAAGCAATACTAATATGAGAATTGAGAACTCGTCACAAAGCTTGAGGAGGCTCTGGACGTCTACAAGGAGAAGCAAACTTTTGGATTTGGACGAGATGTTGTTACTTATAATGCACTCATAAATCTGCCATCCACAAACACGGTAAAACAATCCACAAAAAGCGTACTAGAAACCTCCCAATCCATACCACAAATCCCCTAAAACAAACCAAAAACCCCACAAAGCATACCACAAATATTCCGAAAGCACACCAGAATCCTCATTAAGCAAACCACAAACACGGTAAAGCAAACCACAAACCTCCTAATGCAAACCAAAAATATATTAAAACAAACCAGAAACCCCACAAATCAAACCATAAAATTTTCGAAAGCACACCATAAACTTCTTAATGCAAACCACAAACACAATAAAGCAAACCAGAAACCTCCGAATGCATACCACAAATCTCCTAAAACAAACCACAAACCTCACAAAGAAAACCACAACATTTGCTAAGCACACCATAAACCTCCTAATGCAAACCACAAACACAATAAATCAAACCACAAAAAAGCAAACCATAAACGTCCTAATGCAGACCACAAATATATTAAAACAAACCAGAAACCCCTCAATGCAAACCACAAAATTTTTGAAAGCAAACCAAAAACTTCTCAATGCAAACCACAAACACGATAAAGCAAACCAGAAACTTCTTAATGCAAACCACAAACACGATAAAGCAAACCACAAAAGGCATACAAAAATATGAGAAACCAAACCATAAATCTCACAATGCAGACCATAACATCCAGTGGTCGTTGACCGTTGACCGGTCAACAAAATTCGTTGACCAAACTCCGATGACCGTCAGTGAGTAGATTCCGGCGCCGATAGGCATATTCCGGCCCCGATGACTAGATTCCGACGCCGGTAAGCATATTCTGGCGACGGTGAGCATATTCCGATGACAAAATAGCATATTCCGGTGACCGACGGCGAGATTCCGGCGACCAAAATTTTGGGCCGAAAATAAAAAAGTATTTTATTTTTATTTTTTTATTTAAAAATATTTTTCATAATGATATTTATACCTCTAATTTGATTTTACACTAGGTGAACTCATCTAATAAAAAGTCATCACAACCCTACCTTCCTATTGGTTGGGGACTGGTGTTGTTACAATAACAACACAAGAAGTGTTGTGATAGTATCTAGTCCCTTGGCTAGTCACAAGTCCCACTTGATCCATTCGCTTGAGAACAACGAACACCAACCTTGCGTGATATAACTACTGTTGGCTTCATTTTTGCTGTTTTTTTTAGCGCCTTCCAGACCCAGGACCTTTCACTACTTTTTCTTGTTTGTAATTTTCAATATTAATAAGTGATATCATCTTTCTAAGGAAAAAATGGTTAATGACATGAACATTCTTGTAAAATTCCAACATTTCCAACATTTGGGTTTAGGTTTGCTTGTAATAAATGTATGAATTGGGTTGATGGTTACATACAATAATCTTGAATCAAAACTTAATTAGCTCATTGGGCCAGTTGAAAAAGAAGCAAAAGATGAGCCGCAAAAGATGCGGCTAACAGAACCCGAGGTCAGAGGGATTGAAAGGAGACGAAGGCTCGATGAGAGTAGGGTTTGGGAGTTTTTTTTTTGTTTCGATTTCTGATTTATTTTTTGGGAGGATGATTATTATTTTTGGCCAGAGTGTGGGAGATCTGGCATGTCAAACCTGACGTGTAAAGAAAACAATATTTAATTCCTTCTGTTAGTAAATTGGATGAAAATATGAACGGGCGCACTTTAATCGGACTTAAGTGGTATCCGATGCACTAAATTAACTTTGATGGTATGGCTTCACCAATTGCCAAATTTAAGTGGCACAGAGTGTATTTCACCCTCTCGATCCACATTTAAAATCTTTATTAACCTAGACATTACCCTAAGCTAATGCGGCTAGCCAATAGCCAGAGGAAGGAAACAGAATACCTCCCCACTCTACCCCCTCGTTTTGCCTTGCATAGCCACCGCTCCAAATTCCTCCTTCCCATTCCTGATGCCAATTAATAGGGTTGCTAAACAGTTTGTTTTTGTTAACCACTAATAGATACTAGCTTTTTACCCAGCCCGTTGGCCGGAGAGATTTATTTTATAATTTATATTAATTAACTTATTTATATGTTTAAATTATTTTGGATCTTCTAAATATTTTGTGTTCTTGATTCATAAAAGAGTTTGTAGTATGTCTATATTGAAAATTTCCAATATTTAGCACACTCACTTCTGATGCTTCGGTTTTCTAATCATAAATTATGTCGCTGTCACGTCCCATTTATAACTTATGTCAAAATTTGTCAATCAAAACACTAATATTTAGCGTACGCCAACCTGAACCACACACACACTACCTTACGACCATTGAGTTTTACTATTTAGACTTCAGAGTTTTTTGGGGCATGATACTATACCCTAACCTCTAATAGGTGAACTCTTATCCCTAATTCTCTAACCTCTAATTTATGCAAATACTTTGTCATACCTATCTTCTATCGTATCTTGAGTAAAATGCAAAGATAGTATACCTTGATATATATATATATATATATGGCGAGTTCTACGGTACCCCGAGTGAAATCCGGTGTATCGCATACCTTGAGTATGAAAACGCTATCTAGACCTTGAATTGATTGATCTTTTGGACATGATATTATACTCTAACCCTTAAAGATCAAAATATAGGTCTTAGCTCCCTAAATCTTATACTACAATATCAATTTAATTAGAAACAATAATCGACGGCTATGATTCGTCCAAATATTGGCAAAAAAATGAATGCTCCGTCTTAGGGTTTATAGTTTATGAGTTAGATAATTAGGACCTAGGGTTCACTCAATAAGGATTAGGGTATAGTACCAAGCCCAAAGTTTTTTCTATTTCGGGGTCTAGATAGTGTTTTCATAGTGTTTTCATATATATATATATATATATGGTAGCTACTTCGGTGCACTCACAAAAATGAGTGCATTCAATGCACCCAACTCTAAAAGTAGCCTTAAGACATCAATTTTTTATTTTAATTGGTAAGATCAGTGTAATATGACAATATAATATAAGATCACAACTAATCAATGCATTACCCTAAGCCCTAAACCTTCAATTTTGAACTTTTGCCCTAAACCCCAAATCATGAACCCTAACCCTAACCCTAACCCTAAATCTATAAATCATAATTTCTTCAAATTAATGTAAATTTTGAATAATTTTTGTGCTAATTCATGGGGTTTCTTTTTCATCGTATCATACGTGATGATTAACATTGTTTTGACATGAATCGCATGCTCATAATGACAAATATGAAGCGAGTGCATTGAATGCACCAAAAAATGTGAGTGCACCGAAGACATAACCATATATATATGTGTGTGTGTATATATATTATAGACTCAAAATTATCCAGATACTTTTCCAGACCTATCTTATCTCGCCTAATACTCATATTAAAAGTGCTACTCGCCTATCCCCCACCCTCGGGATAGAGATCCCGCTTTTACCCATAACGTCAGACAACCATTGAGGTTGTTTATCGTTTGATATGTAATATATAAAGAGGAAAATTATAAGATGATGCTATTTATTTCTTATCCTTTCCCGCCGCCCCCCTTTACGGAGAATAATAGGGTAGGGATGAAAGGATCATAGCTCGATATATTTTTATTCTGTTCATCGTATTGGAGGTTGTGTTCTTTTTTTTTTTTGCTTCTTTTCATTCTTCTTTGACACCTATGGTTGCGATCAGTGGTATTTAGCCCCCGAAAGGGGTTGAGATTTTAGGTCCTTTGGAAATCCAATACACATTCATGATCCTCAAGTTTTGACGAACTCTTGACCAATGTTGTAAAGATTAGGACTTTTTAGTGAGACATTCTTAGTAAAGATACTTCATTGTTGGATCAATTTATTCATCCATATTGAAACTTGACACACACCGTAGCCCTCGTGATGATTAAATTCTATAATCTCGACTCATTTCCATTTTGGTTGTTAGTTTTTTTTTTTATCAAGACACTTAAATTTAGTATATTATAGAATATGTATCAATTGTTAATTTTTGAAGTTCAACCCGTGGTCATTGTTTATATGTTGGCTTAGAATCTCAATCTAAGACACTCGCACACATTATCGAGGATTTTGGTCTTAACATGGTCGTTGAATGTGTAATTTTCAAAGATTTTATCACTTATATATTAATATTTGATAAAGAGTTTCCACAATACACATATTTTTCAAGTGCATTTAAAATGTCTTATCATTTGAAAAATATTGGTGGATTTCATTAGATTATTTCCATTAACTTATTATCTATACAACATATATCAATTCGTGTTTCTCGAGTTTGGACGAACTGGCAACCAATTTTGAGAGTTGAGATTACTGGATAATAATACTTGATTGTTGGATAAATATGTTTATCCCAATTGACTATTTTACTAAAAATTGCCAACCTTTATTTGCTAAATGTCTAGGTTAGTAGTTGATGAAACGCGATGTTTATCGTAGATTCTCAACAAAGGTTCTCTAACATTCCTTATGTTTTTTCAAGGAATCTTGTGTCTCATCCTAGGGTATGAAGTCAAAGTTCGTCAACAATCATACTTAAGTCAATTTTGAAAATTTTTATTTATAATCGTTGACGATAAGTCCAAGTCTGAAAGAAAATTTTCTTAGCATACGACTTAGGACCTCAATAGAGCTTGCTCAATCAACATGATATAGAACAAATATTATTAATGTGAACTTAGGACACATTATAAAATTATTGCACATGTGATTTCTCTTCATTTGAGGAGTTTAAGGTAGAACATGATGTGAGGAATAAGAAGTCTTTTTTAAATAAATAACTATAACTACTCGATCAAGATTATACTCTGACATTTTGCTAAATAATACTTATTTTATTTTATAGACATATAATTTACGAATAAGAGAGTGTTTCATTGCAACAAAATATAAAGTAATATAGTTTATTTTTCATAGGTAATTGAATGTCAAATGTTTATTTTCTCTCTTTTCATATAATTTTTTTAATCGAAAAAAATTTATTGTTTATGTGTATGTTTGTCTAATTTTCATAAAAATATAACTTATCATTCAATTTTAGCAAAAATGAGTAAAAAATTTACTTCATAAGGTTTAATCAGATATTTTTTATTTAAACAAATGTGGTATATGTTACTTTCTGTTTTCTTATTTATATTTTTTTACTAGACAAAAAATTATTATTTATGTGTGTTTGGTTAAGTTTATCAACATGTAACCTACTATTAAAGCAAAAAAAAAAAGTTAAAAGAAATGGAAATATTAAAGAAGAGAGAGGTAGCTCCATAAATACATTAATAACTAATTTTTTTGTTTGTAAAAAAGTTGTCCAACTTGGCAAATTGTGGATCCTCCAAGTGCTTATGTGGCAAGAGATTTCTTTTGAATTGTCATAATATATAGTATAGATAGATAGATATAGATAGATAGATAGATAGATAGATAGATATAGATAGATATAGATATAGATATAGATATAGATAGATAGATGCCGGTTATCGATTAACCAATAAGCAAAAAGTTCATATCGATAACCAAATCTATAAGCCTTATTAGTTAATCATATTTTATTGGTTGGATAAGCGGTTACTTTGATTCTTAACCAATAACTACTAACAGACATTCCAACAATTACGGTTATACCTAATCAAACCATATATCTTTGATTTTTTCACGAAATATAACAAATCGAAACAATAACCACTTGTAATATACAAATCATCATCCAATTAAGTTTAACAAGTGTCATTTAACATCATTTTCAATCTACAAACATAACAATGACCAAGAGTACTAAATTAAAGGCAAATAATTCAAATTATTTAACTACATTTATTGTTAACATAAAATAATAATTATAAAAATAATATCAATACAAAATTCATCAAGAATTCATAATTGAAATCCAAATTCCAATTCGTAAAATAAAAACTAATCAAACTTATTCATCTAATCACTGAGTAAGGAATCAAACACAAGCACCACAAGATCATTATTATTATTCACAAACATCAAAGAAAAAGGATCATTAGAGTATGAGTTTCACATGTCTAGTGCAAAGGGGAGTTAGGGAGGAGTGACTTTAAGGATTTTGACTGTTCATTTGAGATTTTTGGTGGAGAGTTGCTTGCAGTAAGTGAGATTGAGCATCCGTGCACAGTCCTGTGCAAAGCAGTCAAAATCGAAATTTTACCTAAAATCGAAATTTGGAGTAAAATCGGAATCGTAAAATCGAATCGTAGGATTTTAAGTACCATATAGAAATTAACATATGATCATATTAATAAGGTAAATCATTAATAACACAAAGACTTATAACATTTAAAGTGATAATTTTCAAGATTAATTTTTAAGCCACGTCAAATTAGAGAGAGAGTGGAGAGAAACAGTGAGGGGTGAGGGTGTGAGTGAGTGGGGTGGGGAGAAATCTGGAAAGTCTTTGTTTTCTTGCAGGTCCGCAAGGAAGAAGAGCGAGTACAGCGGCGACACCGAGGAAGGGCTTAGGCGTAGGGATGGCAATTACCCACCCATGGGTATTCTTGCCCAAATCCAATTATACCCATATATTATGGGTATGGTATGGATTTATTCTATATAGGTTTGGATAGTACTTGGGTAGGTGGAGTTGGATTTGGATTTTGTTTTCAATGTGAAAATGGATATGGGTATCCATCACTTTGGACCTGTTTGTAAATGTTTATTGATTTAGGTACTAAATGTAAAACAAAAAAAAATGAAGTATCAAATTATAATTTTTCATACATAATGCTGAACTTGTTTGTATCTTTGTAGAAAGTTCAGGTACTAAATAGTAATTTGATATGTAAAATTAGCAGCGAAACCTTCCACCGGAATTTCCTCCGTCGACCAGTCTCTCCGCCAGTTCGCCGGCAGCCGGAAACGTCGCTGGTGACTCTGGGAGTCTGGGAGGCTAGGTATGGAGGTGGCGGGTGGCCGGTCATCAATGGTGGAGACAGAGAGCACAGCTGGCCAAATGGAGGACGATAGTGATGGCGGAGGGGATAGCGTAAGTGAAAGAGGTGATGGGTTCCAAGGCTCCGCTCTCTTCTCGATCCGAAGAAACAAACGGAGGCAGTGGGTTCCAAGGCTCCAGCTGGATCTTGGAGGAAGGGATCAGATCTCTGGTGAGTCGCGATCTCTCACGAATCAACTGCGTCTCGAATCGGAGGGGTTTCGAATCAAGCTGCGTTTCAAATAAAGCTGTGGTTCGAATCAACTGCGTCTCGAATCGGAGCTCGGAGTGGGTTTCGAAAACGATGGCGGAGCGGGTGCGATTTAGTGGGTCGGAGCTCGGATGGGATAACGATGGCGGCGATGGCCGTGGCACCGACGGCGGTGGCCGGTGGGTAGTAGACTACTGAGACAGCTCGGAAAGAAAGAAGTCTCTCGACTGAGATGGAAGTGAAAGAGAGAAAGACTGAAAGAGAATCTCGATTTTTTTTTTGTTTTTTCATTTTTAATTATTTGATTTGGATTGTTTTATCCAAATCCATGGGTAAACCCAAAGTAGATCCAATATAATGGGCATGGGTTTTGACCTATCTGACTTCACCCATTTGAATTTAACTTGCACTCCAAACCCAACCCAACAAGGTTGGATAATTAAAAGCCCATGGGTATGGGGATTTTTGCCATCCCTACTTAGGCGGGGGGAGCTACATATCGGAAGCAAGATTATCTGCCTAGAAGACTGGAAGACGTTTAAAGGAAGTCTCATCGATCAGGTTTACGGTGGATGGGGTGCAGAACAGGAGAAGATTTATCTACCTCGAAGCTTGCCAGGCTGTGTGGTTTGCCGCAAAGTTAAGGAGTTTGATGAAGACAAGAGTTCCCCGCCAAGCTAGTAGAATGGAGTCAACAGCAGGTCGCACAATAGAGGTTGGCAAGATGGATAACATGATATGATCCCAATTGGATCAATCCACAATTCACAATTACTTGTCAAAGAAGTCATCTCAACTAACTTGAAGAATTCTGATTTTTTTACCAAGTGTTGAAACAGTTTCAGGTAGCATACTTTGGAAGCTTGTATCTCACAAATGGCTCAATGGAAATGGGGGACCAAGGGCATGTCTTGAAGATAAAGTTGCTATCTTTCCAATGGTATGCTTTTTGGATCCAGAAAATGTCAATAAAGTTGTTTTCCAAGGCCTCAAATTTGCTACCTCAAAACTGGAAAACTGCCAGAAAATGATTTAAGTCTGGAAACTGTTTTGTGAACTCTACTTTGGAGATTAATTCGAGGAGTATGGATCTGATTCAAGTCCAAAAGCTTCCACAAAATGAAACTAGGTATGTTTATGTACCAAGGGAAGGAATGGTATGAAAGATTGGAGTTCTGGAAGGTCTCGAACGAAAGGCGCGAAGTTAGTACGAAACCTGCGTTTGGACTGGGCAAGCTGTAATTTGGATAAAAGCTTCCAGTTTTCAAGAAGATTCGGAGACTACTGGGTGTTGACCTGTCCTTCTCGATCGGCCGAAGCTAGAAGTTCAGCGAGGCAAAGTTTAGAGGTCGTTGTGAGATTTTGGAAGGAACAAATGGGAAGAGACCTCGCTAGCTGCACAGGAAGGTTTATCTTGGATTTTGGTAATGGGAATCGATCGCTCCACATTTGAAAAGCTTTGAAATCTGTAGAACAATTGGAGAGCGAGCTATGTGGCGGTTTCGTCGATATTGAATGGGGCGATCGGAAGGACCCTTGCGTCAGATTGAAAATTAAAAGGAAAGGAGTGCTTCCTAAAGTGCTGCCTCTAATTTACGGTTCCACACTGTTCCGTGTTCTGATCGTCGACTTTCCGTGGATGGACGAGCCGGCGGTGGACATGAATCGTCGCAGATTACTGAAAGTTTCCAAAGTAACCCGGATGGTACGGATAGTCGAGCAGGAGCTTCTCACCGACAGTCGTACCCTGAGAGGAAAACATCATTAACTCCAATAAGTAGGAATGTGAACAGTCGCATGCATCGGAGTGGTGGAAAGATATTTTCCAGGGTCTAGTCTAGGTGAGAAAAGAAGGTCCCGCTCCCTCCAAACCCGAAAGCTTAGATTGGCGCTGGGTCCCATTCTTGGACCGAGAAAGATTCGAGCTCGAGCTAGATTATCAAAATTCGAGTTCGAGCCGAGCTCGAGCTAAAAAATTAATAAACGAGCCGAGCTCAAGTTAAGCAAATATTCGACTCGACTCGGCTCGTTTGCAGCCCAAGTTGCAGCCCAATAGGCCCATCTCTTGAGTTGCAGCACGTTCAACCTTTGGCGATGTTATCTTTAGCCCACAGAAAACTAGCCTCAAGCCCACTCTGTCAGTTACCCATTAGTACCTTTACCCTTTCCGATTCGCTTACCCTCTCTTTGGCAATTCCAGTACAACAAATCCTTTCAAATATCCTTTCCCAAATCCCTAAAACCCCATTTGAGACTTACATCTTTCCCCCCTCTCTTTGCCACGTTGTCTCTGGTGCACCCCCATCCCACATCCTTACCCTTAGACCATCCACAATGGTGGAAGGGAAAAGAGGGAAATTTGGGTGGGAAAATAGGGAAATGAGGGTTTAGGAAATGGTTTGGCCACAATAGGTGGGAAGGGAAAATAGCAATGCTTTTAAAGCCGAGCCGGAGTATGACCCGGTAACGTGAACGGCTTGGTCATTAGTGGTCCAGCCGACATTAGACCGTTTAAAAACCGTTTGAGAACCGGTACCAAGGTTGTCAAACCGGTTTATGCCAGTGTGTCGGTTTAGCAAGTGGAATGGTTCAACCGGTGGTACATACCGGTTTGTGCCGGTTCATGCCGATTAATATTACAAATAATTTATAAATTTTCATATTTAAACACAACATTTAACGTCAATACCTAAATATTTGTACTTGAATCCAACAAATAACATCAACATTTAACTTTTTAACACATAAAATAAATAATAAATTACTTTTTATCAATTATATTCACTAAGATAAGATCATTTTATTTGAAGATTCGTATAACGATCATGCCAGTCATACCGGTGGTGTCATACCGGTTTTATGACCGGTACAGGTTAAACCAGGTTGAACCAGTGGCACACCGGCCGGCATGACAACCATGACCGGTACCTAATAAACAGTCATCTGTAATAGTAGACACTTCTTAATCATGGTAAACCACAAGTAAATTACTCTCTTAAACCATTTAGAACATCAGTACTGAAAGATCTAAAATTCAATTCCAAACCACCACATTGTTCCAAAATAGAAGCAATATCACACGAGTCTGAACATTAAACAAGAGTCTTAAACATGGAAACCACTAAAAGTCTCAAACTCAAACAACTATCAAATACAACTTCGTCATCATTTCATTCACCATCACTAGCATCAGATGAATCACTGCTTAAAGACGCCATCCCAATTGCTGTGCTACCAGCATGTCCATCATCATCTAATAAGTAAACAAAAATATGTTAGAAATCATGTGTTAAAAATAGATCAAAGTTGAACATTCTTCATTTACTAACAATATGTCAATCCAACCTTCATTGCGACCTCTTTTCCTACTTGTAGTTCCACTTCCTTCAGGAACGTCAGTAGCATTATTATCACCCATAGCTTGCATCAACTCATCAAAGCTAAGATCTGGAGTTGGATCCTCTTCCTCATCCATAACCCAAAATTCAGTGGCATTAATCCATTCATAGTCAAATGGATCAACCAAGAACTTACTTTTTCTAGTACGAGACCTATGAATGATTAAATACAAGTCAAATATGTCACTATTTCATGGCAAAAATATTTTGTACTCAAATCAAACATATTTGCTATTTATCACATACCTCTTTCCTAGCTTCATGTTGTAGTTCACAAAGACTAGATTGCTTAGTCTTTCATGCTCTATACGGTTCCTCTTCTTGGTATGAATCCGCTCGAACACACTGCAATTTCTTTCACATCCAGAAGAGGCAGAAGTTTGGCTTAGGACTCGAAGTGCAAGGTTCTTCAACAATGGTGCACTATCACCAAAGGTATTCCACCAATCATCTACAAAGAAAAATAATTTATTAGAACAAACACAATTAAATAGACCAACTATTGCATTACAAATCATGATACTTCATATTACCTGGATCAAGTGATGATCTACCTCTAACAGCCAAGTCCCTACCAAAAGTCCCCTTCGCTTCCTCAAACAGTTTCAGTTCCTTACATGCTTGCAAACCATCACTACAAAGTTGGGGCTTTTCCAGCAAGTTTATTATAGCCCCCTTCACCTCAATGTCCCCCACATATTCCTCATCATATTTGAGAGCAGGATTGAAGAAATAAGCTGCTTTGACTAGATCCCCCGGAAATGCTTATCCCACCTTTTGTTGATGATGTCAATGTAAGGCTTGTACAAAGTCTCTTTACCTAAAAAGATCTCTTTGATTCCCTTAACTGCTCTTCTCATTCCCTCATAAACATAAGCAAGAGTGGGCTTCTCATCTGAATCCACAAGCTTCAGCAACTTCATGACTGGTTGAGCCACATTTGACATCTCCAAACAATCACCCCAAAACTGAGCATCTAACAATATAGCACTCACCGCCTTTCCTTTTGCAGTCTTAGATGATTCATCTGCATTGAAGAACTCACTCACTGCTAAAGCTTGTAAATCAACCTTGTGCTCATACACACTCTTCATGGAGAGGAAATTAGTAGCAAAGCGAGTTGCACCAGGTCTCACTATTTGCTTCCAATTTGGCCTTGCTTTCAACCAATTAATCACAGGAGAATGATTATAAACAAACACAGTGACTCTTCTAGCCTTTTGAATGACAACCTTCACATTCTCCAAATCTCCAAAATCACTCAATATCAAATTCATGCAATGAGTTGCACATGGAGACCAATAAATATGTGGATAAGTCTTATGAATAATCTTACCACGTGACTTTTAGTTAGCTGCATTATCAGTGACCACATGAACCACATTGCCCACGCCAATCCATTGAATTGCTTCATCAAATATCTTGAAAAGTTCTTTGCAGTCTTCACAACCGTTGTTGCATCAACAGATTTAAGAAAACAAAGACCTCTACTACAATAGACCAATAGATTAACCAAACTTCTACCTTGTTGATTAGTTCAACCATCAACCATTAAAGTACACCCATGCTGTCCCCAAACGGCTTGGTGTTGATCAACAATTAGCTAGGTTTCTCTCTTCCAATCAACTAGTAAAGGCACCCTTAAATCATGATATGATGGTACCTTAAATCCTGGACCAATAGCCATTGCAGCATCAAACATCCTCTGCCAACTATCTGAGTGAGCTACATTAAAAGGTATGCAATTCTCATAGAAGAATTCTGCACAAATCATATGAGCTCTATGAATTGCATCCTTAGTAGCCATTGCACTTTTGATGCTTGGTTGCGACCCATGAGTGGTTCTTGGAGAAAAAAAGTCAGCTCCCTTAGCTTTCTTCATCAAGTCACTAACATTTTTAGTTGCATGTGATCTCGCTAACTCAACCACATCATCATCTTTGTCACCAATGATAGGATCATTAGATTTTGACTTCCCTTCCTTCTTTTCATCATATTCTTTAAGAATATTTGCAAATCTCAAACGCACATCATAGGGAACTTTTGAGCATTTCACAATATTCCATTTTGTAGAATGAGCAAGATGCTCTTTCATCCGATGAATCCCCCTCCCCTTTTCTCAATTCCACATAGCATGCATTTGAGTGCCAACACCTTCCCATTATCATCTTTGACTTCTTGGATGTAATTCCAAGCAGGATCATTCTTTCCTCGACCAGATTGCCCAGTTGAAGCAGTAGAGCTTGGTGTTGTTGATTGAGTACCACTATCTGGATTTGGAATACTCATCTACAAAAGAAAGATCAAATCAGCAAAGTTACAAGGGAAAATCTAACACTACCATTCTGAAACTTCTAAATAACTCAATCAAGTAAACAAGTAACGAGGTTGCAGTCTGGAAATGTTTATCAGTTTATGTCATATTTGAAACAGAGTCAGAAGAAATTGGCAATCAAAGCAAGCACACAATCACAAACAAAAAAGCAAATATTATCATTGGAGGTATCGTGGCAGCCTGATTGTGCATACCAACAATTGCAGAAATCACAGAAACCACTTGACCTGCCCTCTTTTTCCCTCTTTTAACTTCTAATTATTTGTTTGTTTATTAACCCCAAATGGTAAATCCACTTGCTGATGCCTGATGGAGCAAGTGGATTTTATCGAATCTCACATTTAGACCTTCAGGATAAAGGCATAAACAGAACTTCAAATGGATGCATATATGGGTCTGATAATGTAAAAGACAGGTTATATTTTGAAATCAATCCTCGACTAATTGATGTTCTGCAACCACAAGTCCTCGACTAATTGATCAAGTTGCGTGCTTTCTTGACTTGCTTTTATTTGGGTGGGATTTGCTACAACTGAAAGGGTAGAATCAACCAGAAATTTGCATCAATTAGGTTTAACAAAATTAACTTACCTCGAGCAAGAGGTGAGTCGGCTGGTGGGAGATGTTGCGGACTGTGGAGGGCAGTGGCTGGAGCAGGGCAGTGGTTGGCTGGAGTAGGGCTGCTTGCAACGATGGCGGGGAGCAGAAGCTGGCGACTGGCGATGGAGCTGCTTGCGGCGGCGATTGCGAGCTGCTTGCGCCTGGGAGCGGGGAGCAAAAGCGACGATGGCGACTGGCGAGGGCGACTGGCGATGGCGCGCTGCTTGCTGCGACGGGACGGAAGCGCTGGGGGCCTGGGGCGATGGTTGACGGCGGCAGGGTGGCGCCGCTCTCCCTCTGCCGTTTGTTGTCAAAGAACTAGAGAAATAAAAGGAAAGGTAGGGTTTTGTTTGGCTGCCCAATTCCACGATTTATTTTTTTAGGGTAAACCGAACGGTCGAACCGCGCGACCAGCTTGAGCGGTTCGAGCGGTTAACCGCTTCGGCCGCTCGCCGGCCGCTGTATAAAATCATGGCGGTTAAATAGCTGATCCGAGCCGGTTTTACGGCCTGGTGGCGGCTTTGGCGGTCCGGCCGGCCGGCTCGGTTCGGCTTTGACAGCACTGGAAAATAGGGTAATTGATAAGGGTTTTTTTTGCCAAAATCAATTTAGTGTTGATCTCATCACTTTATTAAGATAATTTGTTCATAATTTTCATAATTTGTTCATAATTAAAGAAAACAAAACTAAAATCATCGGGTCCCACCCACCCCTTTCCTTTTCCCCTCCTCCATTTGTCCTCTAGTGAAGGAAAAACTCTACCACTTTTTCCTATCTTACTTTTTTTCCCTAACCCTATTGTGGGATTTCCCACCCTTTTTCATATTTTTCCCTCTTTTTCCCATCTTGTTGTGGACAGTCTTACCCTTAATCACTTCTCCCCACCTGCTACCTCTTACTCTCCGCTGTTTTCTCCACCCTCACCCCCCAGAGAGTCAACCCCTCCTGTCCCGTAACCTCTGTTAATTGTTATTCTCCGCCTCCCTTGACCCTAAATCGAGCTCCCCTATCCTAAGCGACCCGAATCCTTTAGCTATTGTGCCTTTCAGCCCCTGGATCGAGATTGTCTTTCACTGTGGCAAGGGCGATTGGATTTGGAGGTGATAATGGAAAGGAGTAGACAGTATTGTCAGCTTTTCGACCTCATTATAGTAAATCCTGTAAATGATGCTTGCAGCAGGTTGAAGTAGTGGTGTTAGAGACTGTTGGAAGAAAAAAGAGGGAGTAGAGATCTAAACTTCAGATGGAGCAGCACAGATTGGGGCCTTGTGAAACTCCTCCATCTGTGCGTCGTGCCCGAAAAGACCACCTCAATAGAAGAAAGATGATACAGTGGAAAGAGTTGCTAAGGGAAGGACTGCAACAAGAAGTAAAAACAGGTATGCCGATAACGTCGTTAGATAACAATGATGCATTCAATCGTTGCGTGGAATGTTAGAGGATTATGCTCTTCTGAAAAAAGAGCTAGAATTAAAAGAATTATTAGAAGGTGGCATCCATAAATTATTGGCTTGACCGAAACTAAGTGTAGCAAGTGTTCGAAAAAGCTAGTGTGCTCGATAAGTGGCAGTAGATCATCTGATTGGGTTGCTAAGAATGCCGTAGAAACAAGAGGGAGCATTTCCATAATTTGGGATAAAGACCAATACCAACAAATAGGTTCTTGGGTGGGCAATTTCTCTCTAGCAGTGAGGTTGCAGATTGTTGGAACCGTGGAAAGTTTCTCAGTTTTGGTTGTCTATGGTCCTCAGCGAAGGAAGAAAAGCTATTGTTCTTACAAGGGTTAGATCAGATGAACACTACAGAGGGCAGCCGCACAGCTCTGAGTTGATGATTGAATTCAATAGTATGATAAATGGTTCTAATCTGACTGATTTGCCACTCAAAGGGTCGTTGTATACTTGGAGCAACGGTGGAGCACAAGCATCTCTTTCTCGTATTGACAGGGCACTCGTTAATCAGAGCTTCGAGGACTGTTACTCACCAGATGTCGTCTATGCCTTGGACCGGGTAGAGTCAGATCATAATCTGATCCTACTGAAATAGGAATCAGAGGAAAGAGTTCACCGGACTTGGAAATTCAGGAATATGTCGCTCTGAAAGATTCATTTCTTAGTCGTTGCGTAGGGTGGTAGAACGTACCTATAGAGGGTCGTGATAACATATTTCGATTTGGACAAAGGCTGAGGCAAACGAAGAGTTTAGTCAAAGTTTGGAATAGGGAAGAGTTTGGGCGGATTGAAACAAAGATTGGCGAGATGTTGAACAAAATAAAGGAGGTAGATAGAAGTGAAGAAAGGGGATTCGACTCTGAAGCTGCTAGACTGGACAGGAGCTTGTGGCAATGTGAATTGGACAGAATCCTTTTGATGGAGGAAATTTCTTGGAGGCAAATATCAAAAGAGTTTTGGCTAAAAGTAGGGGACAAGAACTCAACATACTTCCATAGAGTGGCAAAAAACAGCAAGCGAAGGAACTGTATAAGTCATATAAAAGTGAATGATGTGGTTCTCGAAGATAGGCAGGAGCTGAAAAGCGCCGTTGTTAAGCATTCTTTTGAACCTCTTCACTGAAAGAGGAAGCAGCAAGCCTTTCTTTAGTTCATACAAGACTGATTTTTTTGGGATAGAAGATAATTATGAGATATCAAGACCTTTCACCGAAGAAGAACTTTGGGAAGCTATCAAGTGCTGCAATGGAGACAAAGCACCAGGACCGGACGGATTCACTTTAGAATTCTATAAGAGGTGTTGGCGGGTGATAAAAGGAAGCCGAATTCAGGAGGCCTGTTTGATTGCAAATGAGTTGATTGATAGCAGGAAGAAGTGTGGGAGGCCATGAATTGTTCTGAAGCTGGATATCGAGAGAGCTTTTGACTCGATAAGTTGGGAATGTGTTGATAATATTCTTTGGGAAATGGGTTTAAATGTGAAATTCAGGAGATGGATTGAAGTAAGCCTCAAGGTGGCTAAAGTATTGGTGTTATTGAACGGGGAGGCTGCTGGCTATATTGACATGAAGAGAGGGGTGAATCAGGGCGATTCACTATCACCATTTATTTTTAATTTTGGTGATGGACATCTTATCCTTCATGTTAGATAAAGCTAGACAGATTGGTGATATCACAGGTTTCTTTATGAATAAGGAAGATAGACATGGGGAGGTGTCGCATTTATTGTACGCCGATGATGCTATCATATTCTACGACGCCATAGAAGAACAAGTTGTGAATATTATGACTGTCTTGGCATGCTTTCAAAGTATCACAAGATTAAAAATCAACTTAGAGAAGAGCCGAATGTTTCCAATTGGGGAAGTTGAACATATTGAAAGACTTGCTGAATTATTTGTGGTAATTGGGGTTGTTTGCCTACAGCTTACCTTGGAATACCCCTCGGATCACACCCTAACTCTCACACAGCCTGGGACCAAGTCATTGTTAGGATGCAGAAAAAACCTGAGAGCTGGAAGAGTGGTTTCTTGTCCTTGGGAGGCAGGATCACCTTAGCTAATAACAGTTTTGCAAGTAAGATTCTCTATTTGGCCAGCCTGTTCAGTATACCAAGGAATGTGGTAGCAAAATTGGAGAAGATAATCAGACAGTTTATTTGGGAAGGAGTAGGGGAGGAATATAGGATTCATTTGATTGCTTGGGAATTATGCAAGGCCCCTAAAGAGTTAGGTGGTATTGGTATCAAGGATATTGTATGGCATAATCAAACACTTCTAGGCAAATGGATATGGAGGTTTGCTAAAGAAAGAGAATCGTGGTGGAGATGTCTTATTAACTTAAAGTTTCAGAACGTAGAGTCTGAATGGGTGAGTGGAAATGACAGTGGGGCTGTGGGTCGCAGTCCGTGGAGGCAAATTAGTAAGCTCAATGAGCTTTTTTGGAGATTCGCTTACATTGATCCAGGGTGTGGAGCCTGGACGTTGCTTTGGCATGATAGATGGATAAGTGGGATCACTCTCGCTGACGCTTTTTCCAGGGTGTTTGCTGCTGCTACTCTTTAAAACAGGACCTCTAATGTCGCACAAAGTGCTCATATTGTGAGTGAGAGAGCTATTTGGGAAATTCCTCTAAACCATAACTTAAGGAGGGGGAGGGGGGAAGAAAGGGAGAGAGAGTGTTTGATTCAATTAATTTCATCCTACACTGCTCTTCTACAGTTTGCAGGACCACCTAGAGTTGTTTGCCTTCCATCATCAACAACTGGCTTCACAGTGCAGTCTCTCTACAAAGAACTAGCGAAGGAAAAGTATAGGCAGCTTGAAGGTTTCCCATACAAAGTAATTTGGCAGCATCAAGTACCCATCAAGATATGTACTTTTATGTGGCTTGTGTTTCATTGGAAGATTCTGACACACGACTCGCTCAAAAGGAGAGGATGGAGTATGCCCAGTAGGTGTGCGCTATGCTTGACAAGTGAGGAGGACATCAATAACATATTCATTCACTGTAGGTATGTAAGGAGGGTATGGTTTTTCATTGTTGAGTTTGTAGGAATTCCGAACGTGGTTCGTTCACAAACAGCACACATAAGAGGTGTGATCGAGAGGTGGCCTCATCAACATCCTTCTGGCCCGAAAGAGTGGTGCACGAGAGTCCTTTTGCATGCATTGTGTTGGTATGTATGTGTAGAGAAGAATAACATGCTTTTCGAGAATCAAGCAACACCCCTGCAAGTTGTTTGCGGCAGGATAGGAAGGATGATTGTTGATTGGTTAGTCACAGCAGGAAAAGAGGACAGAACAATTGCTGACCGATGGATTGTGGCGCTACAGAGAAGAATAGAGAGAAGGGATGCCCTCTGATTTCTCATGACCCTTCAAAGGTGTTAACAGTCTATTAATGATAATTTGCCACAGAGTTGCTGCTGGTCATTTGGAGGTTCTATCAATCCAAAGCAGATTCAGGTCCTCTGTTGTAGGAGGTGTGCACCATGTGTGCATTTCGTGAGTTGGGAGTCACTCTATTATGTTTTGGCTGTTCCTGAGATATAGGGAATTGCTCTTTGTGCTTTTTTGCTTTGTTGCTTCTTGATGTTGCCTGTGCACTTGCCTTGCTTTAGTTTGGCCTGTTTTTATCACAACTTGTGTTGGAGTACTTGCTTTGGTTGTACTTGTTAGTTTGTTTGCTGGGTTCTCTTTATTAATAAATTATCACCACCATTATAAAAAAATAATCATCATTTTAATTGTTATTTAATGTGTACCTCAAAATAATTTATGACGAAGGGATATAACTCGTGAGGTTTAGCTCTTGTTTTTCATGTTGTGTCTAGGTAGTTTAACTCAAAGTAGTATTCTGACATCGTCTGC